GTTAGGCCTGGACCGTCCCCTCCTTGGGTGGGAGCTGGATCTTGGATAGTCCAGGTGAAGAAGTGGAGCTGGGGGGAGAGCTGTGGAAGATGGGCCAAGGAGCTTTAGGTAACTGGATAGAAGTCCAGAACAAAGCGATTTCTTTGCCTTTGGTGCTGGAGATTGAACTCAGGGCCTCTTATGTGCTGAGCACATGCTCTACCACTGAGCTCTATCCCCAGCCCAAAGGTAACATTTTATAGTTATTTAGTTTTACAATTTAATTCGCACTGGGCAAGTTATTAAGCCTTTGCAGTCGAAGATTCCTCATTTTAAAATGGGAATAAATGCCATCTAGGAGACAGGCTGGTTGTAAAGACTGGGTAATTGCATGAAGCATTGAGCCCAGGCCTGGTGCATTATAGACATTTGGTAACAAAAGCCATTATGGGTGGGTAGAAATGGAACCCGAGCTCAGATCTTTCTGGAAAAACTACTAGATTAGTGTCTTGAAGTGGTCTAGGGACCTCTTGATGTTACACATGAAGTAAGGCAAGATACAGAAATTTGGATGGCAACGTTATTCGTAACAGCAAAAAAGGAGAGAAAGCAAGTGTCCATCAATGGATGAATAAATGAACAAAATATGACATTTTGTATTCAAGCAGTGGAATATTATTCGGAAGTTTAAAAAATGATGTGATGATACATGCTCCCACACAGATGACCCTTGTGCCGGCTTTGGGAGGTGGTACACACTATTGATGAATTTCCTATGTTCTTGGGGCTTCATATATACATAGTGGAGAGGATTGTTGCCTGGAAAAATGAGCCTGAAGCGGGGAGGGAACCGAACCCCAGCCTTGCACTTGGCCCCGCAATGATGCCTCCCTCCAGAGGAAGAGGCAGGCTTTTATAATTTCCAAGACGTCTGTGCATTAGGTTCAGAAGCTCTGAGTGGGAACCCACATTCACGTCCCCCACTCCAGCCTGTTACCGCTGGTCTCGTCCTTACTAGGTAGCACCCCCTGGGCCCCTGACTGCGTCCCCTGTGCTTCTTGTTTTTGTTCTCCTGGGAAAGAGCTGAGAATTGAAGGCCAGAAACCGCAAAGCCAAGGAGGGGAAGGGAAGGATTTAACTTGGAGGGAAACTAATTAGATGAAGAAGTGGGAAGAGACCTTAATTACCGGGTAGTTCCCCACACAGTGTTCTTTCAATGGCTTTGGGCAGCTCTTGCCGAAGGCTGATTGTGCCTGCCCCTCCGTGGTCACAAAGAGCAAGATAACATTGGTGCCTTGGGCCTTTTAAGTGAGGGTTGGTGGGCGGTGTAGTGTAACCTCTTCCTTCATTGTATCTTTGAAAATATCTTTTCTTATGATAAAATAAACCTAAAATTAACCACCCAGGACTTTCACACATTCATAATATTATATGGCCATGGTCACTATTTAGTTCTGAACATTTTCATAATCCCTGAAGAAAATCCTTCTCTTCCCCAAGAAATATGTCTCTCTCCCAAGTTCTTGGCAACCACTAATCTATTTATGTCTCTATGCCTTTGCCTGTTTTGAACTTTTCATATAAATGGAATTATGTGACTGGTGGCCTTTTTTGTTTGAGTTCTTTCAGTTACAAGCATACATTAAAGGTGTATCTATATTATAGCATGTGGAGCACCGTATTTCCTTTTTATTTCTAAGTAATATTCCATTGTGTGGATATACCATGCTTTGTTTCTCCAGCCATTCACAAATGTACATTTGGGTTTGTTTTCACTTTGAGGCCACTAAGAATGATGTTGCTGAACCAGCATATGAGTTTTTGTTGTGGTTTCAAATTTAGGCTGTATATCCTATTGTCTTCGTGTCTTTTCACTCTTGATTTGTGTGAAGTCAGCCAACAAGAGGAATTTCTTTCTGCGAAAGGAGAAGAAGGGACTGCAGCTGTCTCTGTTGCCAGAGGAGGCAGTGCAGCCAGATGGTAGGCGGGGCGGGCCTGGGGCTGTGCGGCGGAGTGGGGATCACCTGTGCCTTGTTGGCTGAATTAGGACATAAGTTCTTTTGGCCTGGGTGCCCTTGCCTGCCTTCTTTTGTCACCTCTTGGTCTTCCCCCGCTTCATATCCAGGATGCCTTCCCTGAAAGATCCTGCATTTCCTACTCAAGGGATCACCTCCTTGGTCACCCCTGCCCTTACGTGTAAACTGGAGCTTCTTCTGAATCACAAGGTTACTTGGGTAGTTAACCAGGGTCACTGAATGTTTGTTTTGTTTTGTTTTGTCTTTTTGAGACAGGGTCTCGCTGTGCCGTTCAAGCCAGCTGTGAGCTCACTTTGTAGCCCAGGCTGGTCTCAAACTCGCAATGATCCTCCTGCCTCAGCCTCCTGAGTGCTGGGATTATAGGCATGTGCCACCACGCCCGGCTTTTTTGTTTGTTTGTTTTGTTTTATTTTGTCTTTTTGAGACAGGGTCTTGCTCAGGGTCACTGTAAAGAGAAGAGCACTATACAGCCGCAAAGAAGGGACAGTCACCCTATTGCTCTTTCACAGGGAGCCGGAAGGATGGGTCTGCTTGCCTCTCTGGCCATGGGAGGAGTGGTCTACTTAATGCTAACTTTCTGAGTAGAACTTGTTAGTCAGCACCTGAAGGTGTGAACCACTCCTGCAGGTGTTTCCCCAGTAGTCTTGGAAACAGAAACCTCAGAATAACAATTGTTGGGGGCAGCATTTCATACTGGAAGGTGAGGCTGGGCATGCTCACCCCAGCTTCAGACCTCAGAAGGCAGAGCCTGAGGGAACCCGCATCTCACTGCACCCTCTTCCAGTGGGAACACACACTGGTTGGCCATTCCCCATGACAGCCCCTTTGCTAGGTTTCCAGTGTGCTGATGTTTATCTTATTAGCATCTTTTGTAACTGGGCTGACATTAGCAGCTTTGATTTCATAGATGCAGAAAGAGCCTGTCCTTGTCATTCTGAGGTTGTGTGGTTCCCACGTGACCCTGTTAGATTGGCATGGAGGCATTTTAAGCCCAAGGGCTGAGGGCTGTTTTCACTCTGCCTCTGGGGTCCCTCTCTCTGTAACCCATTCCTGCCCATATCTGTTTCCGAACTTTGTTTATCCCCTGTTACAATTTTGTATTTTTCCCCAGTTATTGGGACAAGCACCAGTAAGGCTTTTCTTTCCTGGGTGCTGTGTAATATTAGACTCAGGGAAAGGGAACCTGGCATCATACCCCTGCGGTTCTAGAAAGTTCTCTTTTCTGGTAAACCTTCATCCTTAAGCCCCGTGGTCCCCCTGTGCTTGTTCTATTCCCAATCCCCCCAGCCCAAATATACATCTGCTGTATGTGGAATAATTCACACACCATACTTGCCCTCTTTGCTCCTCTTTAGACTGTTTGTCTTGCATGTGTTCTGGCTATCTTCCAGTCGTGAAGAAGGTATAGGTGTGTGTGGAGGCCCAGGAAATCCTGCTCAGGTGTGAGCTTGTGCATAATGGTGGTTCTGGCCAGAGGACGGCCCTGGCAGGACACCACACTGCTTTTGGCCCTGCTACTGTGCACCTCACTGCCTTGGCTTGTTTAGAAAATGATCTTCTGTGTGGAATCACCGAGGCAGTGCAGGCTTGTGGTTACAGGTGTGGAAGCCAGAGACCTCCACAACGCAGGGGAAGCTTTCAAATAAGCTGTAAAAATTCATAATGAAGCATACACAGTAGCTGCACAAAGGGCCAGAGGGAGGCTGTGTTTACTCAAAATCAGCTGGGATTCACTGATGGCACGTTACTTGTTGCCCCGATGGCAGGCAGGAAGCGGGGACGGTATTTCAGTCTTCACCAGCCAAGGGCCACCTTCGAGCTCCTGTCCCCGCTGCCCCCTTTTAATCTATTATCCTGTTTTCCTAAGCAGTGGTCACCAGTAGCAAAATAAATAAGTAAATTAATTAATTAAATTAAATTAAAAATCCACTCCTGTGGGTGTGGGTGGGAGACACTTCTGACTCCAGGGAGCTGATGACCCTTATCATGCCTGCGCAGGCTCCGACTTTGCTGAGAAACCCATGGCCACTGCACTTCTGTGGTTCCAATTCTTATTTTCATCGATTTCCTTCCTTCAAAGGGAAGGAAGAAAATAATCGTGTGGGCTCATTTTGGACCCTCTGCCCTTATTTTTAAATGCTCTTTAGTTAAAAGCTTTTGTTTTTGTGTTTGAGAAAATGCAGATGGAACAGAGAAGTAGAAAGAGAATAAAAGTTCTACCACCAGGGCATTACAGATCATATTTTAGCCCATATCTACTTCATTTTAAAGAGAATAAAAAAAATAACAAAATAACAACAACATAGACAACTAGTTTCTCTGACTTTTTTTTCTCTAAGTGTTTTTTAAGAATGTAAATACTGTGCATGGTTAAAAGATTCTAACTGTATACAACTGTGTACGCTGGAAACTCAGTGTCTACTTTTTCTCGGAATCTCAGTTCTCTCTGCTGGGATGTCTTGGATACCTGGTGAAAAGAAACCCATCCAGTGCTTCCTGGCTTATCAGTGCTATTACAGAATGTTTTACATGTTGTGCCGCTACAATTTGTGTTAATTACCTCTACAAGGTTTGCACAGCGGGCTTGGGGCCTTGAGTGCTGCACGCACAGGTCCTGTAGATTCTAGGCCACAGATTTCACAGCAGGAGGGCTGAGTGACAGGGCCCCTGGCAAGTGCAGCACCCCCATGATTGATTTTTGAGAGGTATGAAGAAGAGAAATCCCAGCTCTGTTAGCTGCCTGGCTTTCCCTTCTGTGATCTGAAAGAACTGTTCCCTTCTGCCAGGGACTTTTGGAAAAGCAAGCGCTCCTCATACCATGTGCTCATATAGCCTCTGAAATCACACGTACATTGATGAACCTCCCCAGGGAACCACGCTGTCCTTGCTGCCAGTTTCAGGGCGACTTCCCCATTCTCTGACTTTTCTGGTTTAAAAACAGTTCCAAAATGCTAAATGTGTGACCTTTTCTTTCCCCTCCACCAGAAGCCTGGAATGGTCCCCCCTCCGCCAGGAGAGGAAAGCCAGACCGTCATCCTCCCACCTGGCTGGCAGAGCTACTTGTCTCCTCAGGGCCGGCGTTACTATGTCAACACGACCACCAATGGTAAGTCCTGCTTGGGGGAGCTGCCGGCAGCAGCCTGCAGGTGTCCGTATCTCTGGAAAGGCACTTGGTCCCCTCCCACCTCCACTCCCTTGTTTTGGAATTTTTTCTTATTCAATCTATGCTAACTGTCCTGGCTGTGCGTGCCGGGTGGTAGGGGTCTGAGCCTGGGTCTGCGGTTCTGGAAGAGTCCTCCAAAGGGAAGCCTTCCTTTTAAGGTTCATGTTATCCCTGGAACGTCACATCTTCCCTGGGCATCTTTTTTTTTTTTTTGGCATGTCAATAATTTTATTGAAAGGTATATTTCTTAGTACCAAACATAATGGTAGTTGGTTAGGTTACCTCTGCCAACTCAAAGTTAATACTGATGTTTTCAAAATATTGAAATATACCAGCCTTGTGGTAAAACTGAAGTTATCCATAAAACATGGTTTACAAAAAGTTAAAGGTAGAATATACTATGGTTCTTTGGTTTACTTTTCAATGCTTATTTATCTACATGATGTCAAAATTGGTTACATCTGTTCTGGATAGACTCAGGCTTTAGGCCTCTCTGAATTACTGTTTACAATGCTAACAATATATATACATCTCCTTACATTCATTGGCTCACATGGAGAATTCCAAACACTGCCTCAGTGATCTCATAATTACGGAGGTGCCTACTTACTTTTCTTAAGATGCAGTATAGAAATTTGTGAAAGTATGTTTTATTCCTTAAAAAAAAAAAAAACCAAAAAAAACTGCAATGGCAATTTTATAGAAACAATTCAGAGTAAAACCTAGAGTGCTTTATCTAGCCAGAACTTAGGGTAAAGTAAGTTTTCAGAGTGATAATTGATTCTGAGTTACTGTGTAATATGATAGAACATTTTTATAAATTCTTTTTGTTTTTGGGGGGTTTTTTTTGTTTTTTTTTTTCCAGCACCTGGAATCGAACTCACAACCTGTGTTTGCCAGGCAGGCGCTGTGCCGCTGGGCTAAATTCCCAACCCCTAATAGAACATTTTTAAAAATGGAACTAGACTGAAGAAGTAGACTCTATATAGAAATTTTTTTCTTTTTTAAAATATATTTTAAAGTGAAAGAAGGAAAACATATTAACAAACAGACATCCATTTACAAAATAGCATAAGAACAATACAAACAATACAGTTACAGACAAAGTGGTAGGAAATTAACAATCGTTGTTGTATTCCGTATTGATATCTTCAAAGTGGTTTCTCAGGAAAACAGAGACATGAGAGATTGATCAAATAAGTAATCGTTAACTGTTCCTTTCAGTAAAGCAATAGAAGTCAGTAGTACAACTATGTTAGCTATCCTGTATATACATACATACATAATTTCCCTATATAGAAATTTTTATCATTGATACAAACATAACCTGTTTTTTTAGAAGAAATATTAAAGACAGCTCAATGAATCTGTCAAACTTAGTAGGTCTATATTTTGGCCTAATAAAAAATGTCTTTAAATTTAAATGCAATTCCCATATTGCAATAACATTCTCATCTCTGAATTATATTATTACTTGCACTATGGGTGTCAAAAAACCATTACATTATCTAGAAGATAACTCTTATTGTGCCTTAAAAAAGTGCAGGTGTGAAATGTTGGTGTTGATGTAAATCTCGTAATTTAAAATTTGACATTTAAATTAAGTAGGTTACCATTTTTAATATCATCTAAATATAATATATTGAGAAGCTATTGATTAGGTTTTATTTATTTATTTATTTATTGGTACAGGCAATCGAACCCAGGGCTTTGTGTTTGCCAGGCAGGTGCTGTGCCGCTGAGCTGTATGCCCAGCCCCCTGGGCATCTTCGTTGAACCCAGTCCCAGAGTTTGGGGCTGGTTTTTCAAATTGGACCTGGAAAGTTTTCCACAGGGATTTCAAAGCTAGATCAAGTAAAGCAGGTTTGACTTCTGTGTATTTTCTTGGAACTCTGACGTTCTAATGATACTGATGCTCCAAACCAGAGATCACAAATGAGAGGTTTTCCTAACTGTACTTTTTTTTTCTCCTGATGTATCTCACTAGCTGGCATTTCTCAGAATGTCCTTTGGGAAGTGCTGGGTCTACGGGTGGATTATTTATCCCAGCAGATAGCAGAGATTCCACCAGCATTTCTGAGCTGAGTAGGATTGTACTTCTCTGCTCCAGTTATTATAGATTCTTGGGCCTTTCATACAACTCCAGGGTTCCCAGATATGGGCTGGAGATGGTTTGGAAAAGGGTCTGCAGCGTTGGCACATCTGTCCCAAGGTGAGCAGGGCTGTTCAGGCTTGGTCACGGCTAATGCCGGGCAGGGCAAACCAGCTGGGAGCCCTGTGTCTTGAGCTCCGTGACTCCCAAGGATTTTCCCGTGAAGCCACCAAGAGAAACAGCCCCGGACAGATGGATTTGCTAGGAATCACAGGCGTGCAGCCAAAGTGGAACAGAAAGTGTACACAGATCCACCTGTAGGCCCAGCCTTGTCTTCTCACTTTTCTGGTCTGTGCCTTCTTGACTTCACGGCCACCTCTTGTCACCTGGGCTGGTGGATCGTTAATATGGGTTATGATTATGATCCCACACTAGGGGGAAGGGTCCCGGTGGCAGGAGAGCCAGCTGTTGTTTAGAGGAAGACACTAACAGCTGACAGCTGCCGCTCTGGGTGGCTGGTTTATGCATACCTCTCGGCACTGGACCTCCTGAAGGCTCAGCTGGGGTATTCTAGTTGAAGAGGTGACTGGTGTTTCTAGGAAAGGAGAAGTAGGACTGTTTCTAACGCTCCTAATTGCACGCTTCCTCAAAACAAATTCACGAGCAGCTTTGTCCTGTTACTGAGACCCCAAGTTTCAGAGGAGGGTGTTTGTACGTAGTTCCCCATCTGAACAGTGCAGAATTTTTTTTGTTTTGGTACTGGAAATCAAACTGAAGACCTTGCACTTACCAGGCAGGTACTGTACCACTGAGCTATATCCCCAGCCCAACAGTGCAGAATTTGGTGGTAGAGACTTGCCCGGCACACATGCAACTTTGAGTTCCATCCTTGTACCAGGAGTGAATAAATGAATGTGTGAATGAATGAATGAATGAATGTAAAAATCCTGGTTCTTTTCTCAGAAGTACTTGTCACATACAGCCTTCCAGATATTTATATTCTGTCACTTTCTAAACATTATATGTGCTTACTTTAGAAAAAATAAATCAAGGAATACTGTCCATGTTGTACTTTAGATTATTTTGGCAAAATACTAGAGGCATCTTTCTCCACTTTGTACTTTTCAACCTAATCCATTTTTCTAATAGTTGTATAATAGATGACAGTGGATTCTGTGAGCGGGCTACCAGTAATAATTAGCACTCTACCTGTCAATGAATATACTTCAGTCACAGTTTACATCAATAGGCGGTGTCTGGGAGTTGTTGTGTTTTTGGATTTTTGGGGTTTTTTTCCCTCCTGGGACTTGGACTTTAGCATCAACCACTGGGTCAGAGCCTTCCTACAGGTCCTGGGATACAGTGATCCGAGTGGAGGTCCAGGCCACTGGTCGACTGACTTCTTTCTCTAGAGGACCTGGGAGTAAATATTTTAGGTTTAGAGGTCATATGGTCTTTGTCATAGCTATTCCACTTTACAGTCACAGCTAAAAAGCTGCTATAGATGGTATGCAAGTGCGGCTCTGTCCATTAAAACTTTACTTATACATGCTGAATGTGAATTTCAGATAGCTTCTGTGTGTTATACAGTGTCATTCTTCTTTTGATTCTCTTTCAGTCATTTAAAAATGCAAAAGGTAGAGGTCAGAAATGTGGTTTAATGGCAGAATATATGCTTGGTATGCGAAGAACCCTGGGTTCAGTCCCTAACACCATACATACATACATACATACATACTCAAACCATGAAAGAGGATTTTAGTTCACAAATGCATGAACTTTATGATAGCAGTGCATAGGCAGGGTTGCTATCTAGTTTGTTAGGTAATCTGTCAGCCTCCAGTAGGACTGGCTCTCCTACCTTCCTCTACCTTCCCTTTTGTACTGAGGGTAATCCTAACTCCTTGGTCTTGAATTCTAGATTATACATGCCAGTTTCATTCATTATGTAGCTGTTTTCTTGACTAATTATCTGTTCAGTTGATTGAGTCATTATTCACTCTTTAGTCGTTCTTATTTTGTTTTTTTGAGATAGGATCTTTCTGTGCAGTTCAGGCTGACCTTGAACTCACTGTGTAGCCCAGGCTGGCTCAAACTCAAGGTGATCCTCCTGCCTCAGCCTCCAGAGTGCTGGGATTACAGGTGTGTGCCACCATGCCTGGCATCATCATTCATTCAACACCCTTATTACTCCTCAAATATGTACCAGGTAGCATTCCTGCCCTCCAATTGCTGATTTTCTTATAGTTAAAGCAGATTTTTAAATTAATACCTATCTGCTTAAAATCATGAGAAGGGCGATGAAGAAGTCTGGGGTATTTGAAGAATGTGTCATAGAGAGACCCTGGGGGAGCCTCGGAAACTTCTTGGTGGAGGGGCCACCTTTCAGCTGGGACGGGAAGGATGAAGAAAGGGCTGGGGATGGGGAACGCCTCACTGACAGCAGACGCCTCGAGCCTCTCATTAAAGATTTTGCCCTTAGTCTAAAGGAGGAGGAAGCAGCTGTCTTTCTGACTCTCCTTTGGAATTCTTGCTTTTGCCCTTTTGGAATTTGCCTGCTTTCTGCAGGAAAGTCCCTATAGGAATAACCACTCATCCTCAGACCCGCCGCCTTCTCTCCCAGTCTGAGTTAGTGCCTCCTGGGGGGCCAGCTTTACCCCCTTTCCTGCCCTCAATCTTGGCTGTCCCATGCTAGCTCTTCATGCTGAAGCACTCCGCCCCTCTCCCTGGCGGCAGCTCAGGCCACACAGGACCCACTGCTCACTGTTACAAGCCACTGCAGTCCACTCCTCTCTTCCCCATGGTCTGCCTTTCTTCCAAACACAGTGACTCTCAGTATCTGCAGGTCATT